TTTATTATAATTTTTTCTCATTCTATTTTTTAAATTACATTTTTTATTTATTTACTTTTAATTACTGTACATCTTCACAGTATGCAACATAGCCTTTCCCAACATGAATACAGTGCATATCGTCAAGATGAAGACCTGATCATATACATTATCATTTCCTGATGAGCACATAAATTCATTTTGTGTCAATAAAGCATATTTGTTTTTGTCTTTTCCTGTTCTTCCACCCCCACTGCCCTTCAACTGCATGTGTTTATTAAGGCCAGGGAATATTTATTTTTTTATTTTTATTTTTTTGGAGAGGTTTTCACTATAGGGCGCGTGCGCTTGCCAGACAGAGAGAGACAGAGAGACAGAAAGCGAGAAATCACCCCCCAGGGGGGATGGTCACGCCACAATTCCTTCTTTTCTCGGGATCTTGGGCATGCACGCACATGCGCCTGGCGTGAGTTTTAAGCCACCCTGTCCGGGACGCGAACCGCGGTTGACTACGTGTGAGTCAAGCGACATTAGCCATTACGCTAACTGCTGGTTCCCAGGCCAGGGAATATTTCTAAATTAAATATAGATTGTAACTGAACCTGAAATGAATTATTAATGCTGTAAACTCTTAAACTTCTTTTTACTTTTTATTTTTACGTTTTATTTCATACTACTTAAATGTGATAAATCATCTTCATCTGGATAACATGGTGGTCCTAAGGCCAATCTCTTCTCTATCCCTATTTTTTGTTTTATTTGTTCAGTAAATATAGATTATGTATCTATCACATGTAAGCAGTGCGCCAGGTACTGTGTGAGGTATGCAGAAATAGATCATGCTCGCAGGGCCTTACAGGTATTGGGGAGGCTAATGTATAAAAAGAATTAGGAAGGACCAGCAGTTAGCGTAATGGCTATGTCGCTGAACTCCCATGTAGCTGACCACGGTTTGAGTCCCGGATCCGGTGGCTTAAACTCACACCGGGCGTGTGTGCATGCATGCCCAAGATCCTGAGAGGAGAAAGGAGGAGAAGGGATTGTGGCATGGCCATCCCCCCGGGGGGTGATTTCTCGCTTTCTGTCTCCCTGTCTCTCTCTGTCTGTCTTTCTGGCAAGCGCACATGCCCTATAGAAAAAAACTCAAAAAAAAAAAAAAATCTTAAAAAAAAAAAAAAAGAATTGGCCAAAGAATGTGGAGGCTGTTTTAACAGATAGTGAACAGAAATATGGGCTAAAACTATGACCTATGGAATGTCAAAGGAGTGGCTGGGGGGGGAGAGAGCATTAGAATGGAGGAGAAGTGATTGTGGCGTGGCCATCCCCTCTGGGGGGTGATTTCTTGCTTTCTGTCTCTCTGTCTCTCTGTCTGGCTAGTGTACACGCCCTGTAGCAAAAACCTCTCCAAAAAAAAAAAAAAGAGATTAAAAAAAAAAAGAATTATGATAAAAAGTTAAAAGCAGGGAATGGTATAAAAGAACAGTGTCCACACTGTTGTTTGCTTTGTTATTGGTGTACTAGCCCTGTAGACCCTATTGCTCATGTAGTCACCAGTTCATCTATAGATGAGTGGTTTTTAAGTAGGTTAAAAATGTTTTTGTTTACACGTGTTTTTATGTAGACTTTTTTCCAAGTGATTAAGGATATTAAAAATATTAGGAAAAAAAGTAAAATTTAAAGCTTTATGGTTTTGCTCACATTAAGAACCTAGTAGTGTTTCCTTTGGCTTCAGACGATAATCCAAGTTGCTACTCAGTTTACATTATTCGTTCATTTCTTTATAGGGGAGTGAGTATTAATGTCCTCAGGCATGAAGCAGAATTTTATGGAATCACTCCGTTAGGTACGTGTTCTTCTCTCAATATTTTAAGTTTATGATTTGACCCTTCCTACACTAAACATGTCCAAATGAAATGTGTTTATCAGGTCCTAGTTTTTGATGGAATTGTTTAATGTACAGTTTTTGTGGATTTTCATACTAAAAAGATGTTGTCAGCGATGAGTTAACGTAAACGTTTTCCTTTTCTTTCCTTATCCTCTTGAACTAGAGAAAATAAAAATGGAGTACTGTTTTTCTGTTTGCATGTACTCTTGACAAGTGTGCTTTGAACTGTTTTCAGTAAGAAGGCTTCTCTTGTGTGAGGAACTGGAGCGCTCGTCTTGTGGCAGTGTCCTCTTCCATGGTTACTTGCCTCCACCAGGTATTTCTTTTCTTTTATTCAGTCTTTTTAAAAATCTTTTTATCTTAAGCAGTAACAAATATATAAATAAGTCTTGATTATTGAGTTTCTTGTTTATAAATGTGCAACAAATGGTAGGAACTTTAATTTTTATAGAAATCAAGTCATATGTTAGAGCAGAGATTTAGCAAACTTTTTCTACAAAAGGGCCAAGTAGACTTTGTGAGCCAGAAGAGTCTGCTGTGTGTACTACACACTCAAACGGGTATTGTTCTGCAGCCTCTGCAGCTTCATTTACTGCCTTGGCCTGGGGTTCTCATGGCCCGTAGTTTGCTGATCCTTATGTTAGAGCACTGGTTGTCACATTCTTTTTTGTGAAACTCCAGGGGCTCTGCAAAGATATGCTAGTGACACGCAACCCCACTCCAGTTAGTTAGAAGAGTTCCTTTTTTTTTTGTTTTTTTAAAGAGAGATTTTTGCTATCAGGCACTTGTGTTTGCCAGAGTGACAGAAGAGAGACAGAGAAATAGAAGGTGAGAAATCATCCCCCTCCTCCATAGTCTCATCTCCATTCTCCTCCCAGGATCTTGGGCCCACACCCACATGCGCCTGGAGTGATTTTGAAGCCACAAGGTCCAGGACTCAAACTGCATGTGGCCATGTGGGAGTCCAGTGACGTAACCATCATATTTGCTAGTCCCAGAAGAGTCCCCCTTTTATCTTTGTTGTAGTGGGCTTTGAAGCATGATTTCATTTTTAAAAAGGCTCCCTTTGGGGCCAACAGATGGTGTTACATTGCTAGACTCCCACTTGGCTAACTAACCACAGGTCGAGTCCCAGACCCAGTGGCTTGAAGCTCACACTGAGCATGTGTATGTAGTGCTCAGAATCCCAGAAGGAGAAGGGATTGCTGCGTGGCCATCCCCCCGGGGGGTGATTTCTTTCTCTCTCATGGTCTATGTCTCTCTGCAGAAGCGCACATGCCCTAAGGCAAAAATCTTAAAAGAAAAAAATAAAGGGGCTCCCTTGTCAAAAGGATATTTGAAGATACAGGGAAATTTAAAGCAGTTAAACTATTATTGGTTGAGCCTTCCTGAAATCCAAAATGCTCTATTTTCAAAAACTTTGTGAGTGCCAACATAATGCCACAAGTCAAGTGACCATAGTCAGCATGCTGTAATACAGAATTACTGTATAAAATTATGTTCAGACTAAATATGTGAAGTTTCTGTGGAAAATAAAAGGATTTTGTGTTTAAATTTGGGCCCCATCCCCAAGATACCTCATTATGCATATGCAAAGATTACAGAATCCAAAAATAATGTGAAATTAGAATCTCTTCTGGTCCCAAGCATTTTGGATAAGGAATACTTAAGCCTGTACATAGTATTTATGCATAGTGGCTAGCTGACATACTGAATGAATTAATGATCATTGATTTTATATCCTAGAACTAGGTAAAAGTGGAGCATACTATATTAAATCTTAATTTTACCTGCTATGATAAATACCAGAAATACACTGAAAGACTTTTTTGTAATGCAGTTAGCCATAAATTGCCATGTTGGAAGGTATATTTGGCTACAGTGAGTTTCACATTTTTATTTTTCTGTTACAATTTATATTCGTAATTTTGGGGAGGTAAACTAGAAATACATTTTTAAATTCCTCTTTATAGGTATTCCTGGTCGTAAAATAAACAACACAGCCAGATCTGCTGCTGATTCTAGGAATGGACTAACTTCCACAGAAGGTGAAGCCCGAGGAAATGGTACGCAGCCTGTTCTCTCTGGAACTGGAGAAGAGACTGTTAAGCTGGGTAAGTGTTAGGCCCAGACACAATGCCATTGATGGTGGGGCACCGCTGTGTGATAGCTGGAGCCATATGGGAATGCCTGGGGTTCGGATCCCGGGTTGACCTGAACACACTGGCTGTGATTCAGGCAAGATGGAGGTGATGGTGATGTTGGGGTGGTGGGGGTTACAGCCTGTCAGGGGTTCCCGTCTCCTCTCCTTTCCCTTTCATTCTCTCTCTCCTTCCTTCCCTCATTCCTTCCCTCTTTCATGGAAGAATGAAATAGAGGAGATTTAAAATATTTAAATATATATATATATATTTAATTCTAGGTGAGGCTGAGTAGCTGTTTTTACTAAAGACATAATTTTTGCCTCCTTAAATTCACATTTATCATTTATACCTTGAAACATGTCATTTAACATGTAATTTTTATTGAAAATGTTATCTGACTTTTTTGCTCTGCAACTTTAAAGCAGTGGTTGACAAGCCCTTTCTGTTAAGGGCCAGATAGTAAATATCTTTGGTATTTTGGACCATACAGTCTCCATCAGAACTACTCAGTTTTTTCCTTGTAGTGTGAAATCATAAAGAACAATATGTCAATTAATGAGTGTATCTGTGTTCATCCATGCTGTTAACCTAAAACAGGCAGAATGTTGGAATTGGCCTGTGGGTCATAATTTACCAACTCCTATTTTGGAATATAAGCTATGTCTTTTTTTAAAAAAATCAACAGGATTTCCTGTGGATCCACGGAAGGTGCTAATAGTAGCTGGCCATCACAACTGGATTGTAGCTGCATATGCCCATTTTGCTGTGTGTTACAGGTACTGTGTAATGATTTGCTTTTTATTTTGCAGGGTAGCTTTTTAAACAAAATAATTATTAAATTAATGAGTTAATTTTAATTTGACAAGAGAGAGAAAGGAAGTGAGAAAGCAAGCCACCAGGTCTAGGGCTTGAGCCACAGTCAGCCACGTGGGAGTCCAGTGCCTTCCACAGAAGGTGAAGCCCGAGGAAATGGTACGCAGCCTGTTCTCTCTGGAACTGGAGAAGAGACTGTTAAGCTGGGTAAGTGTTAGGCCCAGACACAATGCCATTGATGGTGGGGCACCGCTGTGTGATAGCTGGAGCCATATGGGAATGCCTGGGGTTCGGATCCCGGGTTGACCTGAACACACTGGCTGTGATTCAGGCAAGATGGAGGTGATGGTGATGTTGGGGTAGTGGGGGTTACAGCCTGTCAGGGGTTCCCGTCTCCTCTCCTTTCCCTTTCATTCTCTCTCTCCTTCCTTCCCTCATTCCTTCCCTCTTTCATGGAAGAATGAAATAGAGGAGATTTAAAATATTTAAATATATATATATATATTTAATTCTAGGTGAGGCTGAGTAGCTGTTTTTACTAAAGACATAATTTTTGCCTCCTTAAATTCACATTTATCATTTATACCTTGAAACATGTCATTTAACATGTAATTTTTATTGAAAATGTTATCTGACTTTTTTGCTCTGCAACTTTAAAGCAGTGGTTGACAAGCCCTTTCTGTTAAGGGCCAGATAGTAAATATCTTTGGTATTTTGGACCATACAGTCTCCATCAGAACTACTCAGTTTTTTCCTTGTAGTGTGAAATCATAAAGAACAATATGTCAATTAATGAGTGTATCTGTGTTCATCCATGCTGTTAACCTAAAACAGGCAGAATGTTGGAATTGGCCTGTGGGTCATAATTTACCAACTCCTATTTTGGAATATAAGCTATGTCTTTTTTTTTAAAAAAAATCAACAGGATTTCCTGTGGATCCACGGAAGGTGCTAATAGTAGCTGGCCATCACAACTGGATTGTAGCTGCATATGCCCATTTTGCTGTGTGTTACAGGTACTGTGTAATGATTTGCTTTTTATTTTGCAGGGTAGCTTTTTAAACAAAATAATTATTAAATTAATGAGTTAATTTTAATTTGACAAGAGAGAGAAAGGAAGTGAGAAAGCAAGCCACTAGGTCTAGGGCTTGAGCCACAGTCAGCCACGTGGGAGTCCAGTGCCTTAATCACCATGCCATCTACTCTCCTTGGGTGGAGGGGGTATGGGTAGTATTTAATAATGTTCATTATATATTTTTAGATTAAAGAGCCATTTCTTTTTTCCCCCAAAAAAAGCATTATTTATTTAATTTTATTACTTAACATTATTATTTTTTAAATTGCTATGGGGCACACATGCTCACCAGAGAACGACCGCAGTGGGTGGGTGTGGTTGAGGGAGTGAGAGGCAAGCCCCCAGGTCTGGGACTCAAACCACAGTCGGCCATGTGGGAGTCCAGTGTCTTAACTACCACACCACCTGATGGCCCCCCAGAGCCATTTCTTCTGGTCAGCAAACTTTCTCCTTGCGTATTTTACTTGCTTACGTATCACTTGATTTAGTTTGCTCTCATTTTTACAGCTAATTTGACCAATAGGGCTGATAGCCTTAATGTATTGTATTTCTCAAAGTGAAATGTAATGTGCAGTGTCTTGATATTACTCCTCTTTGCTAATATCTAGCTTCTGAGCTAACTGTTGAATTACCTCTAAGCTCCATGAGTTTTGATATCTAATGATTCAGTCTTTTGTACTCTGAAGTAGAGTAAGACTCAACTTTGGTCATGCCTACTACACTCTTGAGAATGAGGTGGGAAAGCATGAGAGTTATGGAGAAAAGTGGAGCAGTTATATCCATTGTGTGAGCCTATACAGGATTTTAGTGATACTTGCATTTCTAGAGACTACACCAAAGAGTAGTGTAACCCATGGAGCCAGCAGGTGGCGTGGTGGTTAAGGATGCTGGATTCCATATGGCTGACCGTGGTTCGAGTCCTGGACCTGGCAGCTGGCTTTCTCACGTTCCCTCTCTGTCTTTCTCACTCTGTCTTTCTCTTTCTGGTCAAATTAAAATAAATAAAGTTAAATAAAAGAATTCTTAAAAAATAATAGTGTAACCCAGTAATTTTCTTAAATTGGGAAGAGGACTCTTAGTTGAGAATCACTATGTGGAATGAGACATGTGCGTGAGGGTGTGGTGGGGAAGCACAGTAATGGTTGAAATATACTAGCTTAGACTTTGATCCCGTTCAGTTTACTTGCTGAAAATCAAATCATAAATTTTTGTCTTTTGAGTTTGATTAAGAAAAAATAGCCACAATAGATTAAAAAAAATACTAAAAATGTTTTATGAAGGTGACAGATACATTCTACAGAATCCTAAATGAATTTTTAAAAATCTTAGTTTATGAAAAGTTTACTGTATCTGGGTAGGGCCCTTTATATCAGTAATCTCAGGTTTATGTTTTCTTCATAGTAGTGATTAAGTACAGTTCAGACTTTCCATTCTGAGAATGTTCTCTGGTTTTTGTTTTTTTCCTCCCCCTGCCTTTAATACCATAGAACGTGTACACATGAGAGAGAAACACCCCCCAGTGGGACCTTGTCACACCTCAGTCTCCCTTTTCTCCATTTCTCCGTCCTGTCAGGCCCTGGGCGTGTGCCTGGTGTATTTTTCAAGCCACAGAGCTGGGATTTGGACTGTAGCCAGCCATGAGATCTGGCTCCCCCTATATAATGCTTAACTGTTGTGCTACATAGCCAGCTCTGTGGCTTTATTATTTTAATTATTAGTGTGGAAATTGATTTTTTGGAAGATTTCTTCATGGATGACTTTTAAATAAAATGAGACTAATTTGGTTTAGGTTTTTTTTTTTTTTTTTCAGGAATGTCATTTTGAACTTAACCATGTTACAGATCTAAATTGAGACTTTCAGACTTTACTTTTCCTGCTTGTTTCAATATTATGCACATATTTTTATCGATAAAGGATCTCAGGGGAGTTAAAGTATCTAGGTGAAACAAACAGTATAACTTACTTTTCATTACCGCACAGCAGTGCTGAAGATTGCCAGGGACAGTCTGGTGTAAAATTTCACTGTTCAGTGCCAAATGGAAGAAGAATGGAGTTGTTGTATTTTCCGTTCTTTGTGTTTGCGTTTGACCATGATCTTTCTTTGCTTTCACTGCATGCCAGTGATGTAAGAACAATAGGCCCTTGCATACTGACCAAGGAGCATAATTGAGGGCATACTGGATATCCTTATGTATAGTTAAATCAGTCAACACAATGGAAATGACATGATTTCAAAACAAAGAAATCTATTCAAACTGTTTTAATAGTGTAATGTTTTCTAAGAATTATTTTTCCTCAAATCTTTAAATCAATAAATTAAAAACCCTAACAAAAACAAGTAGTACAGGGAACCAGCAGTTAGCGTAATGGCTATGTCGCTGGACTTCCCACATAGTCGACCTCGGTTCACGTCCTGGACCCGGTGGCTTAAAACTCACGCCGGGCGCGTGTGCGTGCGTGCCCAAGATCCCTAGAGGAGAATGGAGGAGAAGGGATTGCGGCGTGACCATCCCCCCTGGGGGGTGATTTCTCGCTTTCTGTCTCTATGTCTCTCTCTGTCTGTCTGGCGAGCGCACGCACCCTACAGTGAAAATCTCTCAAAAAAAAAAAAAAAAACGTAGTACAGTGAATGTTTTTCACCTAGCAGATTCATTACTTTCCTACACTGTTGAGCTTTATTTATTTATTTACTTTTTTATTTTGCCTTTTTTTTTTTTAAATGGGCAAGAAAGAGCGTGCATATAGACAGGAGAAGTAGGGAGAGAAAGAGAGATGGGTAGTTTTTGACAGGGTCTTTGTTCCAACTTCCAAATTCATTGGGATTACAGGGCTGTGCCGCTGTTCCTGGCCTGTTGAATTCGGCCTGTGATCTGAACCTGGTCCTCCCTTGTGGCCACAGCCTCATGCAGTGGCACCTACTGCTTAATTCACCGTGGTAGGACCATGTTACTCTTTACATTTTTTATTTTTTTATTTTTTTTTGCTGAGTCGGTGACAGTGTTAGTTGTATTAACGAGGAGTCATTCTGTAAACTCTCATATTCTTTTTTTTTTTTTTTTGGAGAGATTTTTCACTGTAGGGCGCGTGCGCTCGCCAGACAGACAGAGAGAGACAGAGAGACAGAAAGCGAGAAATCACCCCCCAGGGGGGATGGTCACGCCGCAATCCCTTCTCCTCCATTCTCCTCTCGGGATCTTGGGCACGCACGCACACGCGCCCGGCGTGTAAACTCTCATATTCTTTTAACTTATATTTCACTTTAGATCTTTAATTCATGTGGATTTTTTTTTTTTAAATGAGTTTTTCGCTATAGGGCGTGGGCTTCCCAGAGACAGAGAGAGAGAAAGTGAGAATTCACTTTCTAGGGGGGATGGCCACTCTGCATTCCATTCTACTCCATTCTCCTCTCAGGACTTTGGGCATGCATGCACATACCCCTGATGTGTTTCCCCAGTTGCCATTCTAGAACTTGAACCTTGAAGTCAGTCATGTGGGATCTAACGTCTGAACCACCACACCACCAGCTGGACCATATCCAGATTCTTTAACCCTTTCTTCACATCTGTTTATCATACACCTTAATTGCTATAGAGAAAAACAACTTACAAGTATGATCTCTGTAAAATACTATATATAGTTTTATTAATATTTCTAAATAATCCCATGATCACCTAATTTAACTCATTAAGTCAATTCAGCATCTCTCTATTGAACACTGTTAGGAACCTAGTGAATGTCTCCATTCATGAAGTACTGGGCTGTCAGAAAAGTCATGGCTTATTTTTTTTTGTTTCTCTATGTAAAAACGTGTCATGACTTTTCCAGCAACCCAGTAGCATATTGCCCTGCTCTTGAGGTGCTGGCAGTCCTTGCTTTGTGTCTACTCTCACAATCCTTAAAGACATCAACATTTCATTTCTGAGATGTTGGTTAAATTGTAGAGTTTATTAGATATTTATTAATGTGTTTATCTTCTTTATAAAGAGGGTTTTTATTTTTATTTTTTGCCTTAGGGCATGCGTTCTGGCTAGGGAGAAATAAACAGTGAGAGGGGAAGTAAGAAATCACCCCCTGAGGAGATGGCTGTGTCACAATCTCTTCTCCATTCTCCTCCCAGGATCTTGGGCATGTACACACATGCGCCCCTGGCGTGATTTTGAAGCTACTCACTCTGGGACTTGAACTGTGGTTAGCCATGTGGGAGTCCAGTGACATAACTGTTAGCTGGCTCAATACATGTATCTTAACACATTAATCCTTTCCAGTGGCTGAAGAGGTTAATGACAGGGTTATACAATGCGCAGGAAAAATTGATGTTTTTTTCTGTATTGCTTTGAAGTTTAAGGAAATCATTAATTCTCTAAATAAGAAGGTGGATTGTGTATTTTTATAAATTATAGTTGTGTTACTTTAGCATACATATTTAAATGAAAATGAAGCTAAAGTGTTCTCATTTGGTCCTTAGGTAACCATCATTTGTCGACACCTAAGCTTGACTTTTGCAATAAGTATGTCAGATCGTATGTAAAGAGATAACTTTTCTCTACTTCATCTTTTGTTTATTCTTTTTAGATAGGACAAAGAGAAACTTTTCATTTTTTTTATACTTACCTGGTCTAATTTAAGAAATAGATGTTTCATAGTTCCACTCATCATGATTTAGGCTCTAAGTATAAGAAGGTATATAATCACATAGAATAAATGTCTGTAAGACTTACTTCAGGTAAGAGAAAAAATATTTAGCATTGACAGGTTTGTTACAAATGAAATGTTAAAGAATACATTAGCTTTTATGTTTGGACAGTCAGTAGTCCCAAAAAGTTTCACATTTAGACCCTAAAAACCAGTCTGTATAGAAGAGTTTTCAAAGCTTTTCCCTTTGTTGATGTAATTGTTCAGAGGTGTTGGAATATGTATGGTACAGGCCCTTATTTGAGTTTGTCTGTATAGACTGTCATCTGAAGTATAAGAAACGATAGAGTCAATGCATGTCGCTTTAGTTAATAACAGCTGAAAAAGTGATGAATTGCTGAAAAGAGTAATGATAATTCTAAAATCCCAAATTTTGTCGACAATTCCTACCCATAGAAAATGACACTAATTCTTTTTCTAGGGAGAAACATGAAATTTATAACCATCTTTTTTTTTTAATTTTTCTAAAAATTTAAATGACTTCCTATATTTTTTGAGAAATAAATAACTTTAAGAATGATTTAATTTTATTCATCGTTACTTTTAAAATTTTTAATACCCGTTTAAATGTTAGGTGTCTTGTGTATGTAAACATAGTATATACTTCATGAGTAATATTCTGGCTTTGTGAATGATACACATGTGTGGTATCTTGAGAAAATTCCTGGAAAATGTATTTTATAAGAACTATGCATGGATTTCAAAGATTTATTACACCAAAATAAGTTTAATTCTTTAATACTTTAATTCTACATGTCCACAAACTTTTTGAAATCTCATATAGAAGAGAATTTTATATTTAATATAAAGATGGGTAGGTAGTTAATATCTTTTGTTTTTAATACATAGATTTGTATTCTGCTTGCAAAATTGATGCTGAATCTACTTTTATGTGTCTGTTAATAGAATCAAAGAGTCTTCAGGATGGCAACAAGTGTTTACGAGCCCATATTTGGACTGGACTATTGAACGGGTAGCTTTAAATGCTAAAGTGGTTGGAGGTCCTCATGGAGACAAAGACAAAATGGTTGCTGTCGCCTCAGAGAGTAGCATCATCCTGTGGAGTGTTCAAGATGGAGGAAGCGGAACTGAAATTGGTAGGAGGAACCATGTTTATGTTGTATTTTGTTCCTCTGTATTATAGATTTAAATATGGAAACTGGCTTGTTAGCTAGAGCTACCTCACCTGTCTAGGGTCCCATCATAATAGGTCTACTCCGTGAGAGGAGAGGAGAGTATGATGTTTTAGAAGCAGGAGAGAAGGGGATCTTTTCACCTGTTTTCTCCAGCGAAATCTTGCTGTGTTTAAAAAATGTTAGATTTTCTGAATGTTCACATTCAGCATTGACTTCTTCCCATCCACCCCTCTCATACAACTGGCCCTGAAACCTGGGATAACGTATATATGTGTGTATATATGTGTATATATATGTGTGTGTGTAAAAAGAGTGGCCAGTTTTGCTCTCAGCTTTGGCAATTATGAAGGTGTTGTTTTTCTTTTCTCTCTCTTTTTTGTTTTTTTCAAATTACCAAATAATATGCGTGCTTGCCAGAGAGAGAGACAGAGGGAGAGAAAACACCCCCAGTGAGGCATGGTTACACTGCAGTCTCTTCTCCGTTTCTCCATCCCTCAGAATTTTGGATATACACACACCCACCCAGTGTGTTTTTCAAGCATCGGAGCCAGGATGCAAACCATAGTCAATCATACAGGTTCTGGATCCCTTAACTGTTAGGTTATGGCCTGGCCCAAGGTAGTTTTTCTTGACACTGCCATAGTATTTAGTCATAAAGAATATTAAGATGCTCATGAAGATAAATACGCCATGTCAGAGTTCTTAGACTCATGCAAGGGAAGGATCTGAAGAACTGGGTAAAACTAAATAAAAATTTAAAATATAACAAAAATAATCTACTTTATAGATGTCAATAACTTAACCATGTTGTGTCTTACACAACACTTTTGAATAATATATAAATTATAGGTTCATTGAGACCAAATAGAATTTACAGAGAAAGAATGAAGCATTTTTAGTAAAAATTGTGAAAAAAACCTTTAAAAGCCAGAAATTATTTGGTATAGTCTTTTGAACTGGAATCTCATTTACCCATGCACCTGTTGACAGACATTTGATTTATTTCCAGCTTGGAGATATTATGAATAAAGATGTGGCTAACATTGAAAAAGTATTTCTGTAGGTATACATCTTTTTAGAGTAAGCACTTAAGGGCGGAGTTTTTCTGGGTGATACGGAAACTGTATGTTCTTATAGGAAACTACCAAACTTTTTCAAAGTAGTTGTATCATTTTATGTTTCTGCTATAAGAATTCCAGCTGCTTCAAATCCTTGTCAACTCTGAACAAGCAGTCTTTAATTTGACATAGTTGACTGGACATTGCTGCAGTGATTTTAATGGTAGTTTTAATTCTATTTCCTTGATGTTTAGTAATATTGAGCAGTTTTTCATTTCCTTATTGAACACTTATATGTTTTCTTTTGAAGTGTCTCTTTAAATCATTGCCTCTTTTCATCTTTAGATTTTCATCCTATTACTGGATTTTTTTAAAAATATATTTCCAGAGTAGTGTTCACAACCGTAGATAATGTATACCAGGGAATTTGGAAATGTCTGGAGACGTTTTTGGTTCCACAGTGGAGGAAGGGCTATACTGCAGCCTGCACCCTCCACCTTTCTTCCTGTCTCCCTCCTATCTTCTCTCTCTCACTTCTTCCTTTCGAGACTGTTTTGTGTTAAACTACTTCATACTGGCTTTGAGGTCACCGAAGCTTTTGATCCAATTTATTTTGTCTCTACCCTTCACTTTAGATAAATTTTATTCATTTAGTGACTTTAGCCCTTTTTCCGAAGTATTCTATCTGTAGTTAAACCCATACTGTGAGCATATAGTGAATTTTTATTTGAAATGTTGGACTTTTCAGCTCAAGAAGTGCCTTGATTCTATTTTAGAGTTGGTTTCTCTGCTCAGATTTCTGTCTTTTGCTCATGATGTTCACTTTTTATTAAATCCAGCGTTTCCTGATAACTGTTGTTATATTTTTTGCCTACTGATTCTAATACCTTGGATTTTTTAAAAAAGAATTATTTATTTACTTGACTTTATTTATCATTATTATTTTTAATTTGTGACAGGGCATGTGTGCTCACCAGAGAGAGACAGAGAGAAAGTGAGAAAGCAAGCTGCCAGGTCTGCACCTTGAACCATATCAGCCATGTGGGAGTCCAGTACCTTAACCACATCGCCACCTGCTGGCCTAATATCTGGTACTTTATTTTGGGTTTCTTTTTCCTATTTCTTTACTTACCTTGAATTTTTTTGTTGTATGTTAGACATGTGCATGATACGTTATGTAGAGAGGTATAGATTATATTTTCTTTCTTTAAAAGATGGGAGTTTGGGGGTTGGCTTTGTGGCCTGGTGGTTAAGGCAGCTGGACCCCACATAGCCAACCAAGTGTTTGAGTTCTAGACCCAGTGCCTTAAGAAATATGCCAGGTACATGTGCCTTTGTCCCCAAATCCTGACAGGATAGAGAAACAAGGGATTGCAGCGTGACCATTGCCTGTAGGGGGTGCTTTCTCCCCCTCTTCCCACCTCTGTCTCTGTCTCTATCTGGTGAGCATGTGTGCCATCTGCAAAATTTTTTAAATTTCTGAAAGAACTTCTTGATCCTATTAAGCTTGTTTTTATGTTATGTTAGGGTAGGTAGCTTCTTCCAGCTTTATTTATTTTTAATTTAAGGTCATGGTTTCTTCTCAAGGGTGTGTTCCTATTTTTAAATGTTGTGTTCTTCAAGTCGTAACGAAAAATCAGTAGGGGCTCTGCAGGGCTCTGCTCGTTCAGTGAGATCCCTGGTGTCTCCCAGCAGCTTCCAGTCCCAGAGCCGCCTCTTGCTTTTATTCCTTGGCATTTCTCTCCCTGGCCAGATGCTGTTTGGCCTCAGCCAAGGTTTTGGGGAACTCCCCTTTCCCCCCCAACATCTGTGCTACTTCTGTCACCTGTCCTGACACTGTTGCCTTCTCTGTTGTACCTGCCCCACGAATACTAGCTTTAAGTCCTCTGCCTCCTCAGTTCAGAGAAGCCAGCACTTTATCTCCTTGTGCTGTGATGGAAAGCGTCCTTAAGCAAAAGGCCAGAGTGAGTGTGGGGTATATCTTTTAAGTACCCTGCTGCCTGTTGTCCAGTGCCTGAAAGCTGGTGTATCATGTCTTTTGTCTCTTTTCTTGTTTTAAAGTGGGAGACAATGTGATTATACCATTTATTAAATCATGATTGGCAGCAGGGGTCTGTTCTAATAATTACTTTAGAAAAAATATCTTAACATAAAGTTTTAAAGGATTATTTTTATTAAATAGTATGTGTTATCACTGTTTATTTTTTAATTTGATCAGAGAGTGGGCAGGGGGTTGGGGTGGCAATCAAGAAAGTAAACCATTAGGTCTGGGACTTGAATCTTGGTCAGCCATGTGGGCGTCCAGCTCCTTACCTATCACACCACCCTCTAGGCTCAACATAAAAATTTTGGAAATTGAAATACCCTGATAATTTTATAGAAAGGAAACCAGTTGCATGGGTCCCCTCTCCTCTTTTCAAGTTGCTTTTTCCAACATACCAACAAGTGAAACATGTTATTCCTTGCTTTGTTTTCAAAGGCTAATGTAATAGCAGTGAGTAGTAGCTTTGTTAGGAGATGGTACAACAATAGCTTGATCTTCCCTGAAACAGAAACAATTTGTTGTTACAAATATTCTCCAGAACTTGACAACACATTCATCCAAAAAAAAGTCTTAGGTCGGTGGATCTGTGATAGAGCTCTCCCAGAGGCTGAGCTCCCTGCATTGTAACTTACGGAAGACAGTACTGCTGCTGCATGGCTGCTATAAGGTATTTTACTGAGAGGGCCCCTGAAGACAGGAACTTGTCATCACTTACCCTGCTGTGTTCCCTGAGGATGGTGGTCAGGGTTGTTGAGCCTAAGCAGGAGTGACACTTGAAATTTCATGAGACCATTCAGAATGTCATCCTTGATTTCCCAGAACCTCATCCTTCTCTAGAGTAATCTTTGTTAGGTGGTTTTCTTGTTTATTTTTCTGCCTTTTCATGTAGCCCATATTACTAAATATAATTGACTTTTGTGGGTTTTTTTGAAAAACTGTTTGGCATCACAATTAAGTTTTAAAATGTAATAATCCCTAAAATTGTATATAATATAAAATAACTTTCTGTTTTTAAGTGAGAGGTTTATTTCTTAAGCAGATTCTGGTCAGAGGGCATAGTTTTTTGTTTGTCTGTCTGTTTTTAATGTATTTTATTTTGCTCTGGCTTTTTCGTTGTCAGATTAGACTGAGATGATATATTAATGCGTATGTTTATGTAAATACATATTTATGCATACAGTTAAAAATATAGAAGACAATATTAAGCAAGTCTTTTGTTTCTGGTTTTTTTTTTTTTTCCTTTCTTTTCTGTATGCATAGGCGTGGGGTCTTCAAAAAGCTCACAGAAAAGGCATGTTACAAAAGAAATACATGTTAAAATTTTTTCATACCAAACAAACTCGTATTTCAGTTCAGTTTTTTTCATGGAAGTTTTGAAGTCCCCTCATATCTTTTTTCTGCTAGATGCATAGTATTTTAAGATCAGCTAAGAATCTTCAAGGTGTTCTTCATTGCTACTGGTCTTGTATACGCTGCAGTTTGAACAAAAAGAATATATAACACTAGTGCAAGATTTGAATGAACTCATAATAATTTCTGGCTTATTCTTTTAAAGCATGCTGCAATTTTATTTAATTGTTTGAGTTCTTTAGGACCTTATATATCTTTATTTTTCTTAGCTTACATGCTGTGAAAATTGTTCCTACTGGGCAGGTGCTTTTTTCAGTAAATAAGCTGATGCTTGAAACAACTGAAAATCTACATAAAACAGTATTTTGTAGGTGAGACATTTTCCTGCATTACTTGAGAAAAGGATATTTTCTATAAAGTATCTTTTCAAAGAATTATGAAAATACTATTAAGTGCCAGAATTGGATTATAACATTTTAAAACTGAAAATGATCATTGAGATATTTAATTTGGAACCTATTTTGTAGATGAGATAAGGAAGAATTAGAAAAGTGGAAAACAAAGATACTTTAAAAAAATGATTATTTTTAAAATTTAATTTATTGTTATTTTTAATTTGCTATAGGGCCTGTGTGCTCACCAGAGAGAGCGAGCGAGCGAGAGAGCAGTCAAGCCACCAGGTCTGAGACTTGAACCACTATTGACCATGTGGGAGCCCAGTGCCTTAACCACCATGCCACCTGCTGGCCCAGGAAAGGTACTTTCTGACTCAAGATTCTAATGCAGATCTCCTGACTCTTAGTGCAGTACTCTGTTAAAGAGAGGCAAGTGTCAGTAAGGTGGTAGATGTTATACCAGGATGAGCCTTGATTTCTCTGCTTAGGAATTCTTGAGACTTTTTCTCTTAATGTGGATTCCTTGTGCTCACCCATTCCCAGTTCCCCCAGTTTGATGAATTTCTGTTAACCTTTTTTTTTTTTTTAGAATTATTTTATTTTATTTATTTGTTACTATTTTTTAATTTGACCAGGGGTGGGGAGCAGTGAGAAAGCAAGCTGCCAGATCCAGGGTTGAACCACAGTCACCCATGTGGGAGTCTAGCACCTCAACCACCACACCACCTGCCAGCACCCCCATTAACCTTTTTAAAAAGCCAACTTGGATGGATTCTCGAACCTCCTTGAACACTTTATAGTCTTCTGGATATTACTGTACCCTGTGTATCTTTCTGTTGCTGTTACATTATGTTATAATTGTTTGTTTACAGTTTTTCTCTACTAAACCTTTTTTAAGAATTATTCACCTAATTCTTATTTATCATCATTTTTTAATTTGCTATTGTGCACACACACTCACCAGAGAGAGAAAGAGAGAGAAAGTGAGAAACAAGCCAGCAGGACTGGGATTTGAGCCCTGATCGGCCATGCGGGAGTCTAGTGCCCCAACCACCACACCACCTGCCGACCCCTTCCTAAACCTTAAGTTCCTAGGAACATCCTGTCTTAATGTTTTTTAATTTCAGGCCTGATACAATGTGTTTTGAATGAATTACATTGAGATTATAGTGCTGGGAAATAAGGGGTTCCTGGATGTCTGAATGTTGTGCAGTTTCTTGCCCCCCCCCTTTGCTTATTTCCACATTTTTAAGGACATTCTGAACAGTTGAAGTTAAAACAAGTCTCTGTTTATAGATCATTGGTTCCCAAATAGTAAGCAAACTGCATCTAAATCTCTTTTTATAAAAATGTAGAGTGGGTCTTCTGATGTAGTGGGTTTGAGAGAGAGAACGCCCACTTGGGCCGTGGTCATACTGCAATCCCCTTTCCTCCATTTCTCCATCCCATCGGGATCTGGGGATACATATAGATGCATCGGGTGTGTCCAAGAAGTTGGGTTGGCCACGTGCGTTCCAACTCTGTGCAGTACACCTAACTGCTTTGTTACAGTGGGCCCCTTGTTTTATTCACTTACATCTACCAGGTTATTTTGATGATTAGCTGGTAGTGGGAACCACAGATGCAGATAACAGTGTTCTTTTTTTCTTTCTTTCTTTTTAAGAAAGATTTCTGCTATAGGGTGCGTGTGCTCACTGGAGCAATAGAGAGACAAAAGGCGAGAAATAACTGCCTGGGGGAGGGGGTGACCGCACCACAATCCCTTCTCTCAGGGTTTTGGGCACACATGCACATGTGCTTGGCCGCCGGGCCCAGGACTTGAACTGTCATCAACTATATGGGACTCCAGTGATGTAACTGTTACACCATCTGCTGGTCCCACACAGTGTTATTTCAGTGTCAGATTGGGCCAGACATGCATGCTTTAGGGGTTCTGTAAGCTGCTTAAGAGCTTATGCATTTCTTGTTGCCAGCGTGTCTGGTATATAATTTGTTGAAGTGAGGATAGATTTAAATTAGTCATCTTTGTGATGTTTTTAATCTTGGCTTTGATTAATTCTAAAGATGCTGACTAACATCTTTACATTTTATTGTCTTTGAAGGAGTGTTCAGCCTTGGCGTTCCTGTGGATGCTCTCTTCTTTATTGGTAACCAGTTGGTGGCTACGAGCCATACAGGGAAAGTGGGAGTGTGGAATGCTGTCACTCAGCACTGGCAGGTTGGTTTTCACTAAAGCATGTTACAGACGTGAAAATACTTCTGAAACTTATCCTGGTTATTCGTCTGTTTTATTTTTATAGAATTTATATTATTCCTGTTTTCGATTGTACAGAATATTGAGTGTAATTAGTGGTAAATTTATTCCTAGATAAAATTTGTATTTTAAAGAAGGTAAAATTAATTTAGAAGAGTGACTTTTTAAACTGTGGTTTGGCATTTCATTATTTCCTTAAAATGTTTTAAGTTCTAGGCTTTGGGCATGGTGGTCCAGGCAAACTTCATTTCCTGAGTGGAAGCACAGATTTTTCTGAAAATGCATAATCTGTGAGAGAAGATAGCGAGTTAAATGTTCTTCAGTACTTAAGAGTAATAAGAAGATAAAATTCAAAAAAAGTTAATATCTTATTCTGAAGGAAAAAAAAAAGTAAGGACTTTTAAGCAAAGAATGACATAATCACATCCAAGTTTTAGAAAAATAACTGGGGACCTGCAGGTGGTGTAATGGTTATGTTGCTGGACTCCCACATAGTCTGCTATGGTTCGAGTCCTGGATCCAGTGGTTTAGAACTGGTGCCGGGCTTGTGTGCATGCATGTTGAAGATCCTGAAAGGAAAAGAGATTGCGGTGTGGCTATGCCCCTTATGGGGGATGATTTCTCATTCTCTTCTTTCAGTCTCTGTCTCGTCAGCGAGCACATGCCCCCTATAGCAAAAAAAAAATCTCTCTTAAAGAAATAAAAAAGAGTTAGAGAACTGTGGTAGCTAAAACTCAAAGATGGACTGGAGAGCAGGGGAATCTATTCTGGTAATTCAGCAAAAGAAACGAGACTGACAGTGGTAGAGATGAGGCTATTTGAAAAACATTCCATAGACCTTCTTAAAATGACAAGACTGGTATTTGATTGATAATAGAAAAATAAAGAAATGTATTTTTAGTTTTAGATTTTCAGTTTTGGCAGTTGAGTTGCTAATAATACTTGAAATTGATAAAACATCAGAAGGAAAGCAGATAGGCTGTGGAGGTTAGAGCGAGGAGTAATCAGTCTGATTAAATATGTTTACTTGAGATCCCTACAGGCATCCAAGTAAGTGCAGGTGTTCACCTTGTAGTGGGGAGTATAATTTTGAACTTCAGGAAAGAAGAAAGTGCTAGAAGTAAATATTTGGGATTTATAATACTTCTTTGATAATTTGGGGGGGGGAGAATTAGTGGGCCAGCCCATGGTGTGATAGATAAGGCAGGTGGATTCCATGTGGTTGACTGTGTGGCTCATGTGTCGGACTTGCTGGCTTGAGAGACACACTGGTCATATGTGCTCATGTGCCTAAAATCCTGAAAGGAGGGAGAGATGGAGGAGAAGAGATTGCGGCATGACTGTGTCTCTTGGGGTGCTTTCTCAGACCCCTCCCCATTTGCTCTCTGGGAAATAAAAAATATACAATTAGAACTGATAAAATTTTCCATTGAGAGGGTATATAGGAAGAAAGGAAAAATCAAAATCAAAACTCTAGGGGAACATTAACTTGTAAAAACTAAATTTGTGAATGGATGTATATCCTCATTAGAGAGAGAAAGAAAAAAAGTAGTTCCCATGAGGAATGGTCATGCCACAATCTCTTCTCTATCTCTCTCCCATTGGCCATGTGGGATCCAGTTGGCCCACAAATATTAACATTTAAATGAACAGGATTGAAGACAGAACAAGGGGACATGAGATACAGATTAAGAAATGAGATCAGTTTGGGTAGCCGAATAGCATATGCAAATTGTTATTAATTAGGTTTTGGTAATAAAACCAGATTGCAGAAACTGAAGATTTAAAAGATTAGAAATTAGTGATAGCAAGTTCAGAGTTACCTTTCAAGAAGTTTGGTCTTGAAGGAAAGAGAGAACCAAACGGATATCTTAAGCATCAAGGCTAGATTGGGGGGTATGGAGAGTAGATGTTCAGTGCTTTATTTTTTGTTTTTCTGGGATAGAATAGCATCTTCTGGGGGGTAGTGGTTGCCAGATAAAGCACCTGAAGATTGAAAGAATGGAGGTGCTTTCTGGTCCCATAGTAGTCAGGCGTGTGTGGTATCTGGAGCATAGCTAGAGAGGGTGACCTAGCAGAGAGCAGATACTTCTTTCTTTGTTGCAGAAGGACGAGGGAAGGAATAAATAGAAAGATATTGGAGGCTGGCATGTGGCATGGTTGTTAGGGTGCTGGACTCCCATGTGGGCCATCATGGTTTGAGTCCCAGACCTGGAGCTTGCTTTCTCACTTCTTTCTTCTCTCACTCTCACTCTGTTTTTCTTTAGTCAAATTAAAGAAAAACCAAACATATATATAATTCTTTTTTTAAAAAAGAATACATTGGACAGGTATTAAGGATTGCAGAGTTTATAAATTATACCTTTGCAGGGGACCTGGGGGATGGAGTTATGTGAGTTTCCTTATTAGTGCTTAGTGCTGGTAATAGAAGCAAGAAGGAGAAAAACAGTATTGGCCTCATTCAGGGTTGGAATTTTAATATGACTCACCAAAGGATGAGAAAATACAAATATGACAAAGCAGATGAAATCGTGAGATCAGTAAGTGTAGTCAGAAAGTACCAGGTGGACAGAGAAGGATACAGGGTTGTCAAGGGACTCAAGGGAGGTTTTTGATGACAATATAGATAGAAATCACTGTAGGAAAAAAAAAATGCTAACTATAATGGGCCTTTCAAATAGGTTCAGCAAAAGACATTAATAATTTTGGTCATAAGCATAAAAATAGTGGACCAAGGGATGTGAGAAAGGACTGATCTGTGTGGTTCTCAAGTTTGTATAGAGGGAAATTGATCAGAAAGATTCTTTTTTTTTAAGAGAGTTTTTTGTTTTAGGGCACGTGTACTCACCGGAAAGACAGAAAGTGAGAAATCACCCCCTCCCCAGAGAGGATGGCCATACCACGATCCCTTCTCCGTTTTCCTCCTGGGGTCTTGGGCACGTATGCACATGAGCCCATCTGAGTTTCAAGCTGCTTGGTCTGGGACTCAGTCATGTGGGAATCTAGTGGTGTAACCTTTATACCATCTGCTGGTCCTGATCAGAAGGATTCTTAAGCTGCCGATATTTCTAGAAAGAGGAATTAAATTGTAGTGATTTATGGGAAGTTCTGCTCTCAGGTGGGTTATTTTGCCAGTTATGTCTAGTCTGAGCTTATAGGGACTGGAAGACACTGTACCGTATGTCATAAACTGCCAATGTGTGTTTGGGTTCCTAAAGGGAATGCTTTTCTTATTACCTCTTTTTTTTTTTAATTAACATTTTCAAAAATGTATACAAACTTTTTTTTTTTTTTTTTTTTTT